TCTGTACACCCAATGCGGGGCTCAAATTTATGACCACCGAGCCAGACAGGCATTTATTTTTTTTGAGTATAAGCTTCTATCTTACCTTACAAACTTCTCTGCCAAAAGTCCTGTGCAAACTGAGCAAGAATCCAGATATCCTTTCATTTGTCATATAGGTGTAGTTAGTACCTTAAGTTCTTAAACAAGGGTGAATATTAAAACACAGATTCCGTGGTCCAACCCCAAACTGTCTGAATTAACATCTCTGTCTGTGAGACTTGGAATTTGTGCATTATTTATTTATTTATTTATTTATTTATTTTTAATGTTTATTTGTTTTTGAGAGAGAGAGAGAAAGTGGGTGAGGGACAGAGAGAGAGGGAGACACAGAATCTGAAGCAGGCTCCAGGCCTCGAGCTGTTAACAGAGAGCCTAACGTGGGACTTGAACCCATGAACTGTGAGATCATAAGCTGAGCTAAAGTCGGATGCTTAACTGACTGAGCCATCCAGGTGCCCCTGGAATTTGTCTAACTTTAAAAATCTTCTTAAGTAATTAGAAATTCATATGAAGTAATGAATAAGAATTGCAAGTATGAGAATCATCGAGTTTAATTGCTCATGGTTGAGATTTAATGTTTGGGTCTTACTGGCATTCCACAGGAAGGCCAAAGTGGCTTCATGGACAGAATTAGTAAATTCCTAGCTAGCTTCCTTTCATAGAAGCTATGAAGTAGTAGTCATACAGCAAGAAATGGTGATTTAGGTTTTGGACTCTGACATTAGACAAAACTGTGATGAGTCCCAGCTGTGCTGCTGACTGAGTTGGTTACATTGGGCAAGCCCCTTGATGCTTTAAAAGCGATTTGCCTTTTTTGGTTGGGGCATCTGGGTGGCTCAGTGGGTTAAGAATCTAACTCTTGATTTAGGTTCAAGTCATAATCTCGGAGTTCTTGAGCTCCAGCCCCACAAAGTGCTCTGTGCTGTCGGCACAGAGCCTGCTTGAGATTCTCTCCCTCTCTCTGCCCCTCCCCCCTCTCAAAGTAAATAAACATATTTTATTAAAATCTTTTTTTTAATAGTTTTTATTTATTTTTGAGACAGAGAGAGACAGAGCATGAGCAGGGAGGGGCAGAAAGAGAGGGAGACACAGCATCTGAAACAGGCTCCAGGCTCTGAGCTGCCAGCACAGAACCCAATGTGAGGCTTGAACCCATAAACCATGAGATCATGACCTTAGCCGAAGTCGGATGCTTAACCAACTGAGCCACCCAGGCACCCCAAAAAACATTTTTAAAAAAGATATATGCTTTCCTATAAAATGGAGATAAGGAATTCCTTATCTCATAGGGGTTTTGTAGGGATTAAAAATGTGTTTCCTCCTGAAAGAAACAATGTCTAATACTTATAGGCATACTATATACCTTACCATTATTGAAACATCAGAAAATGGTAGAGATCAGAAAGGAGACAGAACTCTGATTGTCAGTGTGTCTTATATTCCCAGGTTTATGTATTTATCTTAAATGTTTCTTGTTCTAGAATAACTTTTTCTCCCTTCCCCACCTGCACCCCCATTAAAGCTCAGAGTAATCTCACAGTTCTAAACAATGCCCTTTCCATGTAGGTGGAACAAACTTTAAAAATAAATCTCTATGGGAAAAAAAAAGTCCGTACTGTTTCTACTTAAAATTATGACAACTTGCCTCTCACCCTCTGAGTCAATTGTCAATTGTAGAGTGTGTATGTGTGTCACAAATAAACTGTCTTAGCTTAGGGATATTGAAAGCAAACATTCCGCACTGTTTGAAAACAAGAAATTTTGCAAATGCATGACAAGATTAGATTGTATAACTAGTATTCGCATAATGCAGAATGCAAAATACAATTTGTAGACCTAGTTTTAAATTCAATTCTAATAAGTAAACTGATTTGACCCTATTGGGGGAAAAGTTGAAGCACTAATCCAATCACTAATCCAATCTCCATTGCCATAAAATGTAATTCCTGTCTTTTTCTGGGGTCCTAATGATGAGGCTAAATAATGTATATATTTTTATTTACGTGTTCAGTGACACTATGCTCTGTTCAGTGAGCGATGTTCTTCTGCCACTTGGTGGTGCCTGCCAGTTTCAGAATTTGTTTCTTGGTGGCACTATAACACTAAGTACAAAACAAGCTTAAACAAAATCACAGCATTCCTATTGGAAAGGCTTTGCCTGAAACTGTTTAATAATTTAAAGAACCTCTGTAGAAGTAACTGCATTTGTTAACCAGTCACAACCAGTAATTAACTCCTTTGGAGTTTTAAGTTACTTTGGGCAAAATGTCTTAGGAAGAGTACATATTATTAGAAAGCATGCCAAAAATTTACTTAGCAGAGAATTCAAGAACAGTTCTACTCTGCTAAGAGGTTCTGTAAAATTCTACTTCTACAGCCACGTGCTGAATTCCTAGCAGGTCCCGTGTCATTATCATAATTACTGCGTAAACACTTTTAAGGACTTTGCCTTTAGTTTTAAGCATGACTTATTTTCATAAGCCTGATTAGTTACCACACCAGCCTTGCTATGGAAAATGACATGTTCTCACTCTGGGAGTTGTTAAATCTTGATCTACATCAAGTGTATATTTATGTTGCCTTTTCTGCTGAAAGGGTGCAGCGAAAGCATACCTGATTCCTTGTTTTTGCAATATCGGCTGGCAGCTCTACCTAATGGGCATTCCGTTTCCTTAAAGAATTTAGCTGCGCTGTCTAGAAGCCGATTTTCTGATGCCTCCAACGTCTGGTCTAATTGATCTGTTTTAATGGAGTCTTTGTCGGTGAGAAGCGAGATGCCACCGACTAGAATGCTGGGATCTGCTGCTTAATTGCCAGGAGAGAGAGACACTGAGGCTCAGAAATCTTTGGAAGTGGGCGGGGGTTGTGGGATAGTCTTGGGGCGGAGGCGGAGATGTAAGATAAAGGGATGGGTTTCACACAGGAAAAAAGATGAGATTTCTTTGAGGCTCTGAGGTGCTGCACGATCGCATCTCTCAAAGGAGAAGTTAAAAAGCAAGGAAGTGGGAGGAGGTTGGAGGTTAAGGTACTTAAAAGGATAGCTTGGGCACAATTTGTTTTTCTGACGGTGCCTGCAAAAGATAGATAGTCCCAGCTTTCAAAGTGTACTGATGCCTCTTTTAAGTGATTGGGGATGGACGCTAATTGCCTGTGAGATACTATCAAACACACTCTTCTAAATTCGGGGAACCAGAATGAGAGGGGGAAAGGCGAGATTTTCCAAGGGAGAAGCGGAGATGAGGGCTCTTGAAAGAAAGAAAGAAAGAAAGAAAGAAAGAAAGAAAGAAAGAAAGAAAGAAAAAGAGAGGGAAAGAAAGAGAAGTAAAAGAAAGAAAAAGAAAGAAAAATAAGAAAGAAAGAAGAAGAAAGAAAGAAAGAAAGAAAGAAAGAAAGAAAGCAAGCAAGCAAGCAAGAAAAAGAAAGAGGAGGGACGGAGGGAGGGAGGGAGGAAGGAAGGAAGAGGGAAAAGGAGGAAGGGAGGGAGGAAGAAAGGAAGAGGAGAGAAAGAGGGAAGAAGGAGGGAGAGAGAGAGAGAGAGAGGGAGGGTGCTGGAAGGGGGGAAAAAACAGGAAAAAAAAAATCCCGAATCACTGAACAACACGCAGAAAAGAAAATTCATCCTTGTAGGTCATCCAAAAGACTGTGACCGCACTAACAACCCGGGCCACTAGAGAAAGATGTTCCTCTCCATCCACGTCCCGGGAAGCTCTTGGTCCGGTTACTAGCGACTAAAATGCCAGTAGGCTAAAGAGCGCCTAACTGCGTGAAGAATGCAGCAGGCGGAAGGCGGGTCCCGCTCCGCCTTTGCTCGGCGCGGCGGGAGCGAAAGAACCCTGGGCGCTGGGCGAGATGCCCCAGTCGAGTCGGCCCTCGTCGCCCCCCCGGGTCGCCGGCGGTGGGGCCGGGAGATCCGCTGAAGCGCTCAGGGCCGCTCCCCGCGCCGCCCCAGTGAGCCGCTCTTCTGGGAAGCGGCTTCCCGGAGGCGGCGCCCGCAGCCCACCCGTTGCTGCAGCGGAGGAGCCCTCCCCGCCTCTCTGCGAGCACTTGTGCGGACCGGGTCCGACCTCCGAAACGCAGTGCTCCCCGCGCCTCCCAGGCGGCCACGCGAATAGGCTCCGGGCTGGAGGGGAGCGAGTGACGAGGAGAAGCCTCCAAACCTTGGGCTCCTCAGGCTGCGTCGGAGCTGCGGGGGGCCAGGGAGGGGAGGGAGAGAGAGAGAGAGAGAGGGAAGGGAGAGGAGAGAGCCTGGAAGGCTGGCTGAGTCAGCTAGGCGAGCAGCCTCGGGGTCGCAGGCTCCCGGGGGGAACCGCCGCTGCCTCCAGGGCGGCCAGAGCTGTTCTCACACCACCGCCTCTCCCCCTCTCCCGGTCTCTGCACCTCCGAGAGGAAGGTTCCCGGGCCCGCGCGGCGGTCTTCCCGGCTTGGATCGGGGGCAGGCGGCGCGCTCCGGCTCGCAGGAGCGCCGGGCGCCGGCAGGACCCTCTCCTCCGCGCCCGCTCTCCGCTCGCTGCCCTGCGGCTACCGCTTCTCCGCCTCGTCAGCCCTCGCGGGCTCCAGCCCTGAGGGACGCCACACAGCCGCGGCTGAAGAGGGGACGCTGGACCGGGGGCCCGAGCCCGGACCCGAAGCTCAGTAGGGGGCGTCGTGGGGCGGAAAGGGAAAGCGCAGGGGGTATTGAAAGGTGTGAGAGTCGCCCCCTCTGGACCCCGCGCTTCTGCCCGGAGCCATCCCCGCCCAGCCCCACTCGGGCCAGCGCCCGGCGAGCTAGCCCATCTGTGGCGTCCGCGGTCGCCTCCTCCCTGCACCTCCTCGCCGGCCCCTCCCTCGCGGGACCTGCATCCCGCTCCGCCAATCAGCGCCCGCCTGCCTCTTCCCACGTGATCTCGGGCGGGCTAAGGACCTGCTGCTTCCCAAACGCCAGAGGGATGCGGGCGGCAGAGCGCGAGAGGCGGCTGCTGGGCTGTGGGGCGCTTTGACTCTCCTTCCACGCAGCCTCCTTGGACTCCTCTCCTCCGCCCTCCGGACTCCCGTCTCCTCGCGGTCCCCTGGCTTCCCAGAACCCCCTCCTTATGGCAGCAGCCCCCCGAGCCCCCGGCGCAGCTCCTCAGCGGACGACCCTCTCGCTCCCGGGGCTGGGCCGGGTCACTGGATGTTGCTGAAACTCCGGAGATCATGCGCGGCTTTGGCTGCTGCTTCCCCGTCGGGTGCCACTGCCGCCGCCGCCGCCTCTGCTGCCGCCGTCCGCGGGATGCTCAGTAGCCCGCTGCCCGGCCCCCGCGATCGTGTGTTCTTCGCAAGCCGCTTGCTGCTGCAGAGTTGAGCGAACTAGTCATGGTGCTGTGGGAGTCCCCGCGGCAGTGCAGCAGCTGGACACTTTGCGAGGGCTTCTGCTGGCTGCTGCTGCTGCCGGTGATGCTCCTCATCGTGGCCCGCCCGGTGAAGCTCGCGGCTTTCCCTACCTCCCTGAGTGACTGCCAAACGCCCACCGGCTGGAACTGCTCCGGTGAGTCCGCAACCCCGGCGCCCCGACCCCCTTCATCCCCGCAGAGGAGACGCGTTTCCAGCGCACACCAGGCTGCCCCAGTGCGTCTCCTCAGCCCCTCGCCTCCCACTGCCCCAAACCTCGAAGACGACCCACCTCCACCCAGAAGAGCACAGGGAACCTTCCAGGCCTCTGAGGAAGCTGGGGGGTGGGTGGGGGGACGGGGTCTGGGGTGGGCAGAAAGTGCACGCGTAGGAACCTTTTGCATCCTCGCCCTTAGAGCTGCGGATATTTTAAGAAATGTTCAGCGGGATGTTTTTGTGAATCCACCGAAAAGAGCACCAGTCCTTGGGGGGGGGGGGGCACTAAAACAGAACCTTCCCCGTCATTAAAGAAAAAAGTCTAGCTAAAACGAGCGAGAAATAACTTTAGGAGGAAGAGCAAGCCAGAAAGCAATACATCAAATAGTGACTGCAGGAGAAACACTGATTCCTGGTCAAAGTGCCATGGGGTGCGCTGGTCTCGCTTTCAAGACCAGGTCACACGGATTCTGAAGGAGCTTGGGTGTCAAGAGAATCTCTCTCTCTCTCTCTCTCTCTCTCTCTCTCTCTCCCTCTCTCCCTCCCTCCCTCTCCTTCTCTCCCTCTCTCTCACATTCTCCTGCAAAGACGTTGTTTTTGCAGCCCAGGGATGCTTCTTGCTGCCCCAAGCTCCTGATGGTGAAGGGAAGTTGAGAAAAGAATCAGGCGTCGGTCTCCCAGGCCTGGGTGGGCAGAGCCGAGGCAGGCAGCCTCGGGCGGGCGCGACCCACCCGGGCGGGCACTCGCTGCGTTCCTGGGCAGGCTTCCTCCGAGTGGGTCAGGCGGTCTTCCTGCTTGCTGGGGTCCCTTCAGAGTCTGAACGCGAGAGCTTGGCAGGCTTGGCTCAGCTGAAGCCTCCTAATTAAATAGGGCCCGAGGATGGGAGTTGCTGTACTCCGGGGCTGGCTTCGCATTTCAGGATGTCAGCCCAGAGTGTACCCGGGCGGGACGGTGGTGTGATTTCATTGGCATTTTAAATTGCATTAACATGCCTGGGTATTGTCCCCTAGGTCTGCTCTGTTCTAGTTTTAGCAAGCGTGCGTGTAATTTTTCATCTTCTGTAAATATAATTCTGCTGTCGTTAAATCTGGCTTTGAACAATCCAGGGATGTATGTAAGCTGAAGTGTATGTAACTTTGGAGAGGTGGGAATGGCCAACTGTAACTCACAGGACGGCAGAACACGTAGTCCGACGTTGTTACTGATGTCAGTCCCATGGAGGAACATTATTATGCATCATTTTAATTTGTGCTTCTTAAAGACAGGTTGAGATTTGCACCCTGTTAGATTTGGGTCAATAGATTGCCTTTGTTCTGTTTTTGGCAATCTCTAACTTCCGTATTTTTACAAAATTTAAGATGTTTTCTTTAACTTATTCGTGGTTCGTAGGTGCATGTGTGTTATTTTTGAAAAGCCAAGTTCCAGTTTGCAGATGTCTAATCACTTTTCAGGTGCTTTATCATAGAACTGTGAAACAACCTGCAAAATCACTTGCTTGAAATGGTCACAGCTTCGTAGATCAAAATGACTGGTTTGCTTCACCCCAAGTGCAATATCGCTTTAGGAAATAACTAACTTAAAAGTGAAATTGAGGTTGGCAATCAAGAGATGTATTATTAGCTGGATATCTTAAGGAGATCTGGAGAAACTAAAGAGAATAAACTTGTTTTCAAGGCAGATTTTCAAGAACCTGGCACCCCCCCAACCCCAACCCTGTTGACTTAGAGGTGATCAATCTTCATCTGAGCCAGACAGACCATCACAGAAAACACTGTGCCTGTTTATCTTTATTATTGGGGCTTTGTTTCCTCTTTGTCTGGAGAAATTCCAAATAAGGGGTTGCTTCAGACCTAAAGGCAAAAAAAATGATTAAGGATAGAAAAATGATAAAATGACATTCAGAGACCATCACCAGCTCTTTTCTGTAATGTAGAGTTGGGGGGTCATAAACTATAGTCTACTTAATGAGAAAAAAAATAAAGAAGCTAGGAATCAAGTGTTAAGCCTTCTTTCACTGCTGCCGGTAGTATCCCTGGCTAAAATAAAATAGCACAATCAAAAAAGAATATTAAAAGATGATTGACTAGAAAAGAATTGTGAAAAAAAGAAATGAATATTGATCACTTAACTAGGTTTTGGAGGTTATCAGTAGAGAATGACCTTGCAGTACAGCTGTGGTTATTGGAATAAAAATTTAGAGCAATTCTTTCAAGGCTGCACGATAGTGCTTTTGTTGTTGTTTTAAAATCTATACCATTTTTAAATGACGGGAGTATTCTCTTTGAATTTGAGGTTATGATGACAGAGAAAATGATCTCTTCCTCTGTGACACCAACACCTGTAAATTCGATGGGGAATGTTTAAGAATTGGAGACACTGTGACTTGCGTTTGTCAGTTCAAGGTAAGAAGTCTGATATTTGCATCTTCTTATTCATTAATGAGACTACAAGAAAGGGATCTCCCTTTACAACCCATCACTTGGCAATTTATAGCTATGCGAGCTGAGAGGAAAGCTGGCACCAAGCAAAAGTGTTGTGCTGCCAGGAAAGCCAACGGATGTCAAAAAGACATAGCTTTTGGAGATATGTGTATGCCAGACTTATAAATGCCGCTGGAGGTAGAAAGCTTCAGGTTGTTGCTTGGTGTGTCAGCAGCAAATTAGGTTTATGTATCCCATCTGGCAAGCATTTTATAATTCAACTGCTGGGGATAGTCATAACGAATAATCAATGGATAAGAATTGTGGATTTGTACTTTTGTTATCATGGGGGCTATCATTTTTCTTATCATATTGCTCTCTTTTAATGGCCTTTGGTCTTATGATCCTGGCAATCCAGGTAAGTTTTTTAAACACACTCTTTATTAGAGTGACTTCAGAACTATTGTGCTAGTTTGGGAAATCATGGAACTTATGAACATATATCAACTTTTCACGGGCATCACATTGAATTACAGCTGAATTTCCCAAGAACCCAAAAGAGTGCAAATAGCTATAGGTCATTCATAAACATTAGGAAGATATAGTTTGCCTCACATTAAAAAAATGAACAAAATAATTTTTTAAAAATAGAGTGGAAAACTGTAGCACTTGTGTCATCAGAACTACTTTATGAGTATCAATTGAAGTATCGATGACTGTCATTATTACAGTCATCATCTAGAAAATGCTTTATACCACATAAATTATAAACCTTCTTTTCTTTCAGAATGTTTACATAAGCATACATACCCTCAACTACTATAGGTATTATATTAATGTCTTATATTCACCTTTGAGTGTTGCTGAATTACTTTTTAAAATACACATGTTTAACCAGGAAATATGTGAGTAAACAAAACTGTATAAGTGGGATCAGGTAAAACCTTTCCAAGACTGTAAGCGAAACTAAAAAATTAAGGAAAATATGTTGCAGAATGAATGAAAACATTAGACTGAAATTAAGGCCCAAACAATTGTTGTAGTATGCAATATTTAGAATTGTTGATGAAATTAAATATTTTAAATTGTATTCAACCTCCTAGTGAGAGAGATAAGGGAATTCATATTTAAATATAGTTTTTATGGTTTGTAGATGAGCTAAAAGCTTCTTGAAAATTTTCTTTCCAAGAAAAGCAATGAAACAACTAATATTTGTAAAGTGCACCACCTCCTGGTGGGTGACTATTGCTGTGACCATACTACAGTCTTTCAGACCACACTATAGTTTTAGAAACATATCTGTGCATATTTAATATGCATGTGACAGGAATCTCTAAGGTCTCTGGCCACACTGAACAATGTAATGATGTTCTTTCAATGAACTGCATGGGAGAGATAGAGCATGAAAACTCTCCAATTCATACTTTCTCCAATTGTTAACTAAGGGGAAAGTACAACTGGATAAATCAGTAATTAAAGGCCCAAAGGATTTTGTGAATTTCCCCCCCTTTCAGTTTGTGATTCCCATAAATTTGTCTTACTTTCATGACCAAGGATAGACATAAGAAGTGAATTCATAAACAGTAGAAAATGAACCAAAAAGACTGTTCCTTACATGGAAAGCCATCATTCTAACAAGATTCCAACAAGAGAAAAATAATGGAGTTCACAAAATTCTAAATGGGTGCGTGCTACTACAGGGAAATGTATAGTTTTCATATTCAAGAAATTATATTCAGTTTTCAGATTCCATAAAGGGTTTTGGTAAAACTTTTTATCAACCAAAATATTTGTGCTTTTCATGTTTTGGCCAGCCAGTTACATTTGTCATTAATTTAAATAATTGTTCATTGGAATAGACTGGGGAGTGGGCATTGAAACCAACTTTGAATTTTAAATTTTTTAAAAATTTTATTTATTTCTAGGAGAGAGAGAGAGACAGCATGAGCAGGGGAGGGTCAGAGAGAGAGGGAGTGACAGACTCTGAAACAGGCTCCAGGCTCTGAGCTGGCAGTCAGCACAGAGCCCGACGCCAGGCTCGAACCCACAAACCACGAAATCATGACCTAAGCAAAAGTCGGATGCTTAACCGACTAAGCCACCCAGACGCCCCTGAAACCAACTTTGAACAAGAAAATAAATGTATTTTTTTTAATGCCTGTAGAATTTAAATTTACTACTAGGTTACTACTACTATTAGCTTGTGCTTTGTGATAGCTGTCACTTTGTCAAGAGAAAATAAACATTTCCTTCATGGAAAACTTAGACTCTACACATACTAAGACTATAGAGTGACTGAATTAAGTTCAAGATCAAAGAAAATGCACATGTTGTGCAAACAATAATAAGTTATTTTAGGCTAAGAGTATATTGATTCAGTCCTTTCCTGTACCTTCCAATGAATTTGAGGTTTTGTTGTGGGTTTTTTTTTTTCTTCCCTTCATATAAGGAAGATGTCCTGATAATCTATTGTTCCTATATGCTAGTTTAAACTAGCTGAGGTTATCTGCTGCAAGTCTCCTAGGCTTACAGATACAGTCACAAATTCTTTCATTCAAATTAGGATGCAAACTATGGTCATTCTGTATAGTGTTACATTTCAAAGGGAAGTGTGGATATGTGATCTATAGTTTCCCAATTTGGATTATTACTGAAGCACTGAAGTGAACATATATTTGCCCTCACTTCTCTTAGATGATTTAAAATAAACATAGGGATGACTGGGTGGCTTAGTTGGTTAAGCATCTGACTTTTGATCTCTGCTCAAGTCATGACCTCACTGTTTGTGAGATGGAGTCCCACATTGGGCTTTGTGCTGACAGTGTGGAGCCTGCTTGAGATTCTCCCTCTCCCTCCCTCTTCCCCTCCCTATATGCCTCTCCCCTGCTCGTGGGTACTCTCTCTCTTTCTCTCTGTCTCTCAAAATAAATAAACATTAAAAAAATTAAATTAAATTGACATATTCTAGCCTTTATTTGTCACAATTGAATGAGGTAATTATTTTATCCTGCTTTTATAGATGAAGCAATTAAGGCTCAGAAATATAAATAACCATCATTAAGTGGTGATCATAAAGTAAGAACCTAGGTCCTTTGCCACCAAATCTATGTTTTTCCCAGGACATTATACATACATATGAAAATATCAGTAACAGCAATAACAATACCAAATTGTTGTAGACAAGTCAATATCACAGGTAGTACAAATGAGTTTTTAATGATCATATGAGTTCCAGATATGGCCTATTGCCTCGTTTCTATCTGAATACCAGATGACATGCTGATGAATCATCTAATAAATCAGTTGTGGAGAGGAAAATTTAGAGATGGATGGATGGATGGATGGATGGATGGATGGATGGATAGATGGGTGGGTGGGTGGAAGGAAGGAAGGAAGGATGGACAGAAGAAAGGAAGGAGAAAAGGAAGGAAAGAAGGAAGGAAGGAAAGGGGGGAGGAAGGGCCATATGCAGTTATTCATAGACAGCATTGGTTGTATATACAGTGACCAATTATCAGTTTGTAATTCAAAAATATGATGAAGTTATGCCTTTCAGATACTATTTAATTCAGCTATTAAATGTTTTCATTTAATAGGTGTGTTTTAGATCTGCAATTGTTCCACTTACTAGGATTGCATAACAAATTGCCTAGAACTTAGTGGCTTAAACATAATGAACTTTTTTTTTTTTTGCTCACGAATCTACAATTGGATGGTACTTGATGGAAATATCTCACCTCTCCTTACCTTGGCATTAGCCAAGGAAGGGAGAGAACTCAAAGGCTTGATTCTGTACTCTTCTCAGGGCTCTCACTCATATGTCTATCAGCTGGAGACCTCGGTCCTCAATGTGGATCTCTCTGTATGTGTTAGTTTGGGCTACCTCATACCACAATGGCTGGGTGTTAAGGGCAAGTATCCAGAAAGAGAGAAAGAGCCAGATAGAAGCTGTATCCTATAATGACCTAGCCTGAGAAGTCACACAGAGTCACTTTCACCATAGCCACAGGCTTGCCTCCCTCAAAGTCATATTTTCTTTCATTTAAAGAAATGTGGTTACAGAGAAGGAAAAAGTTGCTTATGGAATGATCAAAGGATTGGGACATGTGCAGGTTTTTTTATCTTTTTCTTTTTTGGAAGAGAAACATACCATATCCTAAGCCATTATTCTTAAGCCTTTGACAACTGGGAATATAACAAGAATTCACTTAACATCTGTGGAGTAACTTCTACATGCCAGACGCCATGGAAAGTGCCGACAATCTATAAAATGTAAGTTATACATAGCTTCTAGATGCTGAAATCTCAGCTAAAAGAAATCTTTATTAACCAAACAAGCAATAAATCATATGAAGAAACCTCTCTCTTACATTTTTTTGTTCGTCTGTAGTAAAATGAATTCCATATATTCTAGAGTGTCAAGTCATTGATCCACTAGTATGATACGTAGCTACTCTCTTAAGCTATGTGGACACTTTGGAACAAAATCATTCCACTGGTAAACACATATTTGGACAACAAACTTAAGATTTTTATAACATCTTAAGAAAAATAGAATAACTGTTCTCCTGGGAGGAAGTTTGTACAACACATACATTTATGGGTCTAACCATCTGGGCCTGAGTCTTGATTTTTCTCTTACCAGCCAACTATGTGGCCTTTAGCAAGTCATTTAACATCTGAATCTGTCCCTTCATCTGAAACTGAGCAGTACTATGATTACCACTAAAAACTATTTCCAATATTTTGGCATATTTTAACATAGTACTTAGCCTATTTTTATGCACCAGGGTATCCTGTTTTCCTTTAGTTCTTTAATTTTAGACATGTGTGTTTAGTGTCAGTGTTAGATGGTGTGTCAATTGTATTCAAATAAAAAAATACATACCATGAGAGACAAATAGTTTACATTTTTTTATAAATGAATATTCCAAAGTATTTTAAAAACATAACTCTGTTAATCCTCCTGAATGCCCTAGTTAACGATTTCCGATGGGGAAACTGAGCTATAAGCTTGTTAAATATTTAACTGTTGAGTGATGTCCACAAGGTCCTACACCAAGGGGATGAGAGAAATTGGAGAACTAAGACCAGACTTGCACTCCTGAGGCTTAATGATTTAGAGTTATCTTTCCTCCTTGCATTATTCATATAAATGAGTGCAAGTCATGGTACTAAAGGCCAAAATCATCCTGCTGATAATCTACAGTTAAGCTCTTTTCAGCTCCATACAAATCTCCCTTTTGGCTTGTGCATGGAACTTGGCAGCTCTGTTTTTAGCACTGTTCACATTTGGCTTACTGCATCCTTCAGAAGTGGCATATGAGCACTTTATCAGTTTATTCCATATTTTAAGATGCATATCAGCATTGTGTACTAGCACTTGTCAGAGATAACAAATACTTCCCACCCCGCACCCCCTGTCCACTGACTACATCTGTAGAAACAGATGAGAAAGATAAATAGAGAGGTTCTAGGGAGTGGAGTGGAGAAAATGTGGACCCAAATAATCTATTGTAAGCAGGTTTGAAGATGGAGATAAAAGGTAGACAGGAACTAGAATGCTAGAACCTGAGCATGAGAGCTTACTAGTCTAAACATCACACTAATTTTGACTACCTTCTACCTGCTGAAAGTGTCAGCAAGTCTATTGACTATGATATGTTACCAGTTCACTTCTTTCTGATCTCTCCTCCATGTGCTCAGATACCATTTTAATGTTAGTGGGTCCTCATAAATCCTCCCTGGTCCTGAACACAGCACAGTTATCAAACACCTATCCATCCACCTGCCTCCCAGGCCATGGATCTGATGGGAGCACCAGCCCCATTTATTTGGTGCTACCTCAGTAGTGCTCACTGGAAAACTCAACTCTTCATGGACATTTTGCCATTGCCTTTTTTCTTTAGTAGTGATAAAGATTTTGAGTCCTATGGTAGGTCAATTCTCAGATACAAGTTAAAAACTACATATATATTGGGGTGCCTGGATGGCTCATCAGTTAAGCATCTGACTTCTGCTGAGGTCATGATCTCACAGTTTGTGGGTTCGAGGCCTACATCAGGCTCTGCTCTGACAGTGCAGAACCTGATTGAAATTCTCACTCTCCCTCTGCCTCTGCCCCTCCCCTGCTTGCTCTCTCTGAAAAACAAATAAACATTGTGAAAAATACATACATATTTTAGAAAGCTTGTGGAAGGCAGCCTTTATATAGGTATCACTTGATCAGAAGTGAATGCCTATTTATTTATTTTAAAAAAATTTTTTAATGTTTTATTTATTTCTGAGAGAGAGAGAGAGACAGCACGAGCAAGGGAGGGTCAGAGAGAAAGGGAGACACAGAATCGGAAACAGGCTCCAGGCTCTGAGCTAGCTGTCAGCACAGAGCCCCACATGGGGCTCGAACCCACGAACAGTGAGATCATGACCTGAGCTGAAGTCGGACGCTTAACTAACTGACTGAGTCACCCAGGCACCCCGTGAATGCCTATTTAAATATCCTCATTAGTAAAAGATTCTAATCAAGTTTTAAAATATAGTCACATAGATAGACTGAGCCTGGGAGCCAACAGTAACTGTAAAAAGGAATTACTGCATAGAGGGCTTCCAGAATATGTAGATTAGAAATTGTAGAAATGTAGAAGATTTCTAAAATGTGTCATATGTAAAATATTTAAATCATTTTAATCACATGTAAGTAATTTCTAAATAGATGTGATTTAATATCTTAATCATCATGTTAGCAATTATGGAAATCATAATGTGAAAGTCATACAATTTGGATTTACTATTGGGAGAAAAGTATATCACTATTAATAAGCTCTATTTCAATTTTTCAATAACAGATACAAAGTAGACTCATAAAATACGACTTTTCATTTCAGAGAACATTGGCTTATCCCATTTTATTTATAAATTACTAGGACGATTAAACCATTGTTACATAAAGGCAAAGAGCAGGAGTTAAATGGTTGATTAAGAAAGAGAAAGTACAGATATTCTAAGGAAATAGAGTAAAAAAATAAATTTCAGTTTTTAATTATAAGATCATAACCTTATTGAGAATCTGTTCTTTTTCTGGCATAAGTCTTTGAGTTTAATTTAACTTATGATGGAGTTTTAGGTTGATTATCATATACATTAAAACTTTCCTAGCCATCTCACTATATCATTGGTTAATTTTGTATATGTTGTAGACTCACAGCCATCAACAATCCAAATATTTTAATAAGAACTAGAAACAGAAAAATGTTTTCACATGCATATGTATGTATGATTTGCTTTACTTAGTTTCCAGCGTAGGTGGATATTTATAAGTAATCATCCTGGTTATTACGTTTGTTACAATTAAACAATGAAGCGCATCAGTAGTAGTAATCATGAGATAATCACATCTCTAGTGTAATTAGCAGGTAGAGGACACCGCCAAATATCTCTAATGGCTTAGAGTGTGATTATATTGCAATGAGCATACCCTCCAGGTTACCTCATTTTCTTTGTAAAATGTGTACTTTTTTGTAATGAGGTTGTTTTAAAAATGAACTTTTCTCTTTATGAAATATATATTAATAGTCATACTTGTCAAAAGTCAATAAAATTTACATATGTATGTTTTACATACATGTCAATAAACTTTACTTCAATAGTTACTGATTTTTTCCTTGTATTCCATATTTTGTCTTTTTCTTGCACTCTATCTGTCAATTTCCAATGATCTAAAGATACGTGACAAGTGAATGAGTAACCAAATGTCTTATCCATATATGTAGAAATTTGTAAAGATTAAAATTCAACAGGGAAAAAACATAGTAAGGAGTAACTGATTTCATTGGCATTGCAGCTATATACGTCTGCTCCAAACACAGATAGGCATTACCTATTTTTAATAACATGAATACTGTAGCATATTTTGATTCTTTCCACCAAGCCAGATGGGCATATATCTGAAAAACAGTATTAAATAATGTTGATACATTTGCTGCTATATCTTTTTACTGTTGCTTGTCCAATCACTTTGTTGGAATTACCTGATCAATTTAGAAGCCTCCCTCCATCCACCCCATCCAAATCAAATGACTATTTGGCTGCCTTCACATTACTTTTGTGTATCTTTGAATGATGCCCTCATAAAGTCAAAGACTTAATGGAAACAATGGGGATTACTGAAAATGAAAAGTATTTTCTTTTGCAACTGATTATTTTTGTTCAAGGTGTCAAAGGTATGCTGACTTCAGTACTAACCATAAGCTTCTATCTGTGTGTTCCCCAGTGTAACAGTGACTACGTGCCTGTGTGTGGCTCCAATGGAGAGAGTTACCAGAATGAGTGCTACCTGCGGCAGGCTGCATGCAAACAGCAGAGTGAGATCCTTGTGGCGTCTGAAGGATCATGCGCCACAGGTATGTATGTGATCCTAAAGATTCCCAAGATCTGTGGGAACCATCCTTGCTTTTCCTGATATGTTATATCCAAATAAGTAACTCAGACTCCACAATGGCTGCATAAGCCTCTTATTCTTTTGTGCAAAGCATGCATTTTTCTTATTTTTGCCTTGTTTACATTTCAAATCACTTATGGAAGAAAGAGAACATCTACTATAAGGATGTTGATTTTAATACGTATGTTATTTAATGAAGTGCAGACAGTTGAATAATATAATTAGAGGCCTAGATTTACTGACTATGTGCCAAATATAGAGAAACTTATCTAAGCACAGATACAGTTGGTTTGTCTGTTTTGAACAATAGCATCATCTGATAGAGGGCAGTTTTGCAGATCTGGGTTTGAAAGTGAAAATGTGGGTAACGTCAGCAGCACTATAAAATATGAGCTTCCTTAAAAAGTGAAAATATAGAATAGTGCCAGGAAAAGTCTGTTTTATTGGAAAGATAACAAGTATTAGATAGATAACAAGTATTTCTTAGATAATAGGTGTTTTTCTATTCTAGGGAACTATGTAAAATGTCATGTGTATGATGGTTGGGTCAAGATAGTAAATGAGCAAGGAGAAAGTCTTATATTCTTTAAAAGATTATCTTAAGCCTATTGATGGCTAGTAATTCATTGTGCGCCAAATTGTACCAGTGACTCGTAAAGTTCCTAAGAACTAGCAGAAGAGAATGATATTACTCACAGATGATGTAGGCGTTTTGGTTTTGGTTTTGATTTTTAGGTAATCATTTTCGTTATATGATTCTTTGCCTCATGATGTGAGCATCCTTCCTGGTGCCCCACTTGCTTCTTATTTGCTAGAGCAAATAGATCATTGCCACTTCATCTGTCTTAGAAGTAATGAATGAAAAGGACAGCAACATGTGAGAGTCATTGGACTTGCTTCACCAGTAGGGAGGAAGGAGGACCAGGATGGTACTCTCGTAGTAAAGATGGGGGAAACAGGAAGAAAGACAGGGAGCATACTAATTATGAAAATCAATCTGCCATACCTACAGAGAAAATTTAAAGTGATTTGTGAAAACAAATCAAATAGGAAAAAAAAACCCTGGAAACTCTGACTCTTAAAAGTCAAGAATGTTGAAGACAAATACCAAAGAATAGTGAGAAAAAGATCTTGTCTATTCAAGATCATTTAGCTTATAGGTGTGTCTCTGACAGTAGCCAAATGAAAATCAATTGGCAGTTATAATAAAGGATCATTGAGTGATGATACGGCTAAGAACATTTGGTACCAAAATCTTTCCTACTTACCAACCTCCAAGTTCTTATAGGCTCAGGCACACACATTCTCCTGATTCATACAAATCTTTACATTCTAGTCCCTGTTGTATTGTTTGTACTACGAAAATAAATACGTAGCCAAGTAGAAAATTTAATCACAATTGAGTAATCCATACCTACTTAATTCACATACTTAGATTTCTATAGGATTTGATTAGGAAGCCAGTCTTGCTGAAGGTTTCCCATTGACTTAAAAAATCTAAAATTTTTTGATCTGAATAATGATGGGGGCACCAAAGTATTTTGATTAACCAGGTCAGACTGTAAATAAATTAGAGTTCTAACTTTTGATCTAAATGAAATTCTCCTTCTTTTCTTTGTAGATTTTCCATTTTTTGAAATGCTATTTGACAATGAATAGAGATGGCAAGTTGTGATCCCTAGGAATAAAAGGCATAGATGATATAACTTTATTATATTTCATTGAACTTACAAATCTTTTTTGTCCAAAAAATGGTTTCCTATTGGGCAGTGTGCTCAATAGTCTCACTTTCATTTTCGTTTTTTTTGTGTTATAAGAAATGCATTGACTAGGAGTTCAGATTTTCAGGTTCAGCAGCATGACTTCTTAGGTGTTTTTGTCTCACCAATAAGGCTTTAGTAGACTACTTATTTCTGGTTTGCCAAGATGGTTAATCTTATATTAGAGAAGCCTTTAGAGCTTTCCATCACAATTTCATAATGATGCTATGGACCTGTGGTTACTTTTGCCATCTATTCCTCCTTTCTTTCCTACTTACTTAATTTGGATCAAATCAAACAAAAACTGTCTTAAAGAGCTTGCCCCTTGACTTTTTAGATAGATATGTGGGAAATAAAACCAATATACTGCAGATATTTTTTTCCTTTTCCCAAACCATACATAGTTATTAGAAACCCTGTAAGTGAATAGGCAAGATGTTTACTCACAATGTTAATTTTTATGTACCAGACACAGTGATAAGCATTTAAAACATGCTATGGTGCTTTTTCTGTGTAAGTCTCAAAATAACCCAATGACATAGACGTTACTATACTCATTGAATGGAGGACAAATAAGCTTAGGAAGGTTACATAATATTCCTTATGTTATCAAATAAGTAATGTTTGGAGATTTGAATCTATAAGCTTTTATGTACTTCCTCTTATGTGAATATAAGTATAAAAAGCTGAACATGACATGGTTCCTGATTTAAAGAAGTTTACAGTCTTAGGAAGAAACAAGAAACTGTACACATTTAATTAAAACACATAGAATATATTGGTGCTATAATAGTACAACCTGTTAGCCTATGATAATTATAAGTAATACTGAATTAAGCTTTCAAATTAATTCAGATAAATTTAGTGAAAATTTTAGCGGTGAAAGTATACAAACGTTGACCATGCAAGCACTGTCCTATCCCAAAGTGGCAGTGCCAGGAGTTCTGATTATCAGTTCAGTTGATTATCTGGTTATTTGATTATCAGGACTCTTCTACTATGGAGATGAAAGCATCAGCCTTTCTTGATCTGAAACAGTTATCATCAAACAGTGAAAGCATACAATTAAAATACTTATTTGAGTGTACATTTACTCAGAAGGGTTTTTTTATAAATTGTTTTACCAATTAGCTTGCCTTAAGGAAAGACTCTGCTGGCCTAAAGACACAAGTTAGTAAATGATGTGGCTTTCTGATTTAATACAGTGTTGGACTCTATGAATTAGTTAATATGAGTCTCAACCAAGGCTGATTATTTAAACTACTACTCCTTCAGAAGTGGCATTTGATGTATTTCTTGAATCCTGGTTGAGATTTCATTGTGAGATGAGGATTTCAGACAGAGAATACCGATATTAGTCTTAATATCCAGTATAAACATTAAAAACACATAACCAAATGTATTTAGAATGAAAAGAAGTGGAGAGGCAAAAGGAAGATGATGCCTACACTTAGGAGGTAGAACCAGATGGACACTCAATGGTCTTGACTCCCTCCTAGAAAACGGACTGTCCATCAGAACTGAGTTGTCAGAAATGGACAACTTTTATCAACTGTAATTATGTAGGAGGGAGGAGAGAGAAGAAATGTAGAAAGAGATGCAGAAGGCAGGGTATCATTTTTTTTTTTTTTTTTGGGCCACCATCACTTAGGGTGTATCCAATTTTAAGCACAAAGACAGAAGTTAATCTCACTCCTCTATGGATTTTAAAAGCAAAGGATGATGTTGATGACAGATAAACTTATCCACAATTGTGGTATTTGGAAAATATATTAGCAATTACATGAAAATATAATTATCTATAAACTGTTTTTTTCTGTGTATATGTGATTTATAATACTATGCCTTAATTATGAGTTTATTTGCCACATGTCTTCACCTGCTTAATTTCTGAATTTCACTGTTATAAGCATTTTGTTCTTATTTTTTTCAGTTAATGGCACCAAATTCATTCTGGTTAAAATAAAAATATGAGAGATTTTACATAGTCAATTTTGGGAATTGTATCAAAGCTGGATAATAGTTTTTCTTACAGAGTTTAAGAATGAAAATAATAGAGAATTTATTTTATGAGTTATACAAATTAAATTAAATTGATGTGAATATACATTTTCAGGTTAAATATTAGTCATTTTCTCCATTATATTATTGTCTTAAAGAAAGTAAACATGAACTAAATAAAGTCACAAATAGTCTTTGGATATGTTTTCAAACAAAAACAAAGTATTTCTTTTCCCCTCCAGATGCAGGATCAGGATCTGGGGATGGAGGTAAGAGTTGCCTTTTTATATATTTGAAGACTTACCTATAAATATTATTTATGGGTATTAACATATATTTGCCATTACAGATATCTGAGACAAATTCACATTTTTCATTTTAGGAAAGGGACAAACAAAATAAGTATCATCCTATTTATTACATAAATGTATAAATGAAAATTATTTGTTATACTTACGAATCATACTTAAGAATTTCATCTTATCTAATCTTTCTTGTTCATTTATTTGTTTGTGCCTGAGTTATCTTTAAGATAGATATGCATGTCAGAACTTCCTAGGGGCACCTGGGTGGCTCAGTAGGTTGAGCATCCGACTTCAGCTCAGGTCATGAGCTCATGGTTCCTGGGTTTGAGCCCTGCGTCGGGCTCTGTGCTGACAGCTAGCTCAGAGCCTGGAGCCTGCTTCGGATTCTGTGTGTCTCCCTCTCTCTCTGACCCTCCCCTGCTCACGCTGTATCTCTCTCTCTGTTTCTCTCTCAGAAATTAAAAAAAAACATTAAAAAAAAAAGAACTTCCTAAAGGAAGCTTCCAAAAACATTTAGCAAGGCAGAAAGAACTCATGAGGAAATCACTTAAATATTGAGATTTAAAAATATATAATATTGCTCTAAAATACCATGTATTGATATTAACACATACGTAACTCTCATGTAAACAAGATCTTAATTATCACATCAATAATTTGAAACTGAAGGAGCTTTGGTGCATAAAAGAAGGTAAGAAAGATAAACAAAATGAAAATAAGATATTATTTTTATTTCTTTGTTAAATTAATCTATATTTATTTTTCTTCACGTAAGACATGTTTTCATTATTAAGTCATGTGTTTGAGGAAGCATACAAAAGAGAGGCAAAAACTTTTAAAATTTGATCTGGTGTACTGACCGCTAAATAATACTTTATTTATGAATTGCATCTTCATTGTAAATATCCCAAAATACTTTTTCAAATGAAATCTGAACAAATTTCCAGCTTTATACACAACAAGAAAAAAAAGTTAGGCATAATTTCAACAAGAATCAAAAAAAGAGAATGTATAAAAACATACTTTCTTGAGGCCTTGCTTGAGTTGTAGAAAATGATCAAATGTATGATTCCAAGTAAATTTTAGTGTTTAAATGCAGAATTTGATGAAAGATAAAGAAAAGAAAGCCTTGGGTTCAAGAAAGATCTGACTTATCACACTAGTTTGGGGAATACTTCAAAGATGTATCAAGTTGCTTTATGTAATGAAAGGCTTAATTAGTTTAAGTAATACCCAGAGAACACAATTACAACAAAATACTGGAGCACAATTTTTCCCATAAAGGCTAAAGCTGAACAGGAGTCAAGATTTAGTACCATGAGAGCATAAGATGTATTCATTGTCACATGACATTGGACAGTTATTTGATGTTAAGACAGTCTTTCACTACTTCTAAAAAATGTTACCCCCTGGCTGATTGATACAGTGTTCCTGAAAAAGCTTCTCTGTTTGGAAAGAAGAGCAATTAAATGGTAAAGAGAAAAAGAAAGGAAAAAGACAGATAGTTGCTTGAGTAGATATTTCACCACTGGAATATTAAGGAATTAATCAATTAAAAGTGTTGCTTTTGGAAGAAAGTAATTCTTATGCAAAATTCTGTTTATTTCCCAGTTATATTTAGTCTTTATGTATAGATTACCTACTTTTCCAGATACTGTATTGAGTTTCAAATGTTCCACTGTTCAGGCAACAAGTCTTGTTAATTTTTTAGCATCTTTAAAAACAAAACAGACTCGACCCACCTGGGTGGCTCAGTTGGTTAAGCATCCGACTTCAGCTCAGGTCATGATCTTGCAGTCTGTGAGTTCAAGCCTTTGTTGGGTTCTGTGCTAGCAGCTCAGAGCTTGGAACCTGTTTCGGAGGTTGTGTGTGTGTCTCTCTCTCTCTCTCACTTTCTGCCCCTCCCCCACTCATACTCTGTCTCTCAAAAATGAATAGATGTTAAAAAACAAAACAAAACAAAACAAACTAGACCACAGAAAAATCTTCATTGCTCTTTCTGTTAAAATGTCACAATATCCTTTTTTCTATTTGAGTCCAATATCATATCACACATCATTTTAATTAATTAATTAATTTTAATTTTTAATGTTTTTTAAATTTATTTCTGAGAGAGAGAGAGAGCAGGGGAGGGTCAGAGAGAGAGAGAGACACAGAATCCAAAACAGGGTCCAGGCTCTGAGCTAGCTGTCAGCACAGAGCCCGACACAAGGCTCGAACCCATGAACCATGAGATCATGACCTGAGCAAAGTCATACGCTTAACCAACTGAGCCACCCAGGTGCCCCCATTTTAATTTATTTTTTAAGAAGACATGGTTTATGTTTCAGATGCTGGTTTCCAGCGTACATTCATTGTAATTAGTTCATGCAAGTGATGGTGAGATCAACAGCACTATTCCCTGTTTCAGTTCATATTGAAATCTTTGCTTCATTGTGCTATCCAGTGATCTAAATAAGATAGTAATTTTTTAGGAAATAATTTCAATGCCATGAATATGATGTTTATAATCTGAACTATGTATATTAGTTAGAAACCACTTTCCTTTTCTTCATCTTCTTTTTGCTTTTTACTCTTTCAGTTATTTGTGTTTATAGTAACTTTGAGGAGGAAAAAAAGGAACTTCTTAAAAGATAATTGTTTTAGTATTCCATGGTATAGATAAACCACATCTTCTTGATCCATTCTTCTGTTGATGGACACTTAGGCTCTTTCCATGTTTTAGCTATTGTGGAGAGTGCTGCTATGAACATTGGGGTACAAATATCATATGTGTGCACGTATAGGAGGATTAGGAGGAACTTAACAGAGGACCAACCAGGAGAAGAAGGGGGGAAATGGTGGGGGAAAGGGAGAGAGGCAAACCATGAGAGACTCTTGAATGCTGACAAAAACTGAGGACTGATGGATGTGGCGGGGAGGAGAGATGGGCATGGAGGAGGGCACTTGTGGGGATGAGCACTGGGTGTTATGTGGAAACTAATTTGACAATAAACTATTTGTAAAAAAAAAAATAATAAAATAAAATCAAGAACAAAAAAAAAAAGATAATTGTTTTAGAAAAAGAAAAGAACATATAACCCATTTAGTTCTGAGTTGTACTCTTTTTTAAATAGCTGTTGTTCTGAAAGTTGTGGCAATGAGTATTTACTCTGACACTAAGAATTATTTTTGTAGTCAAAGACCAAACATTTTTTAAACTACTTTTTTTTCTAGTCGTTGTCTTACTTTGCTCTGAAATACTAATGGTTTTAATTTTCTTTAATTTTTTTACTCTATTACAAGGCACCAAAAAGGCTGAGTAACTAAATCTAAAAACCCAGTTTAGACTAACCTGAACAATTCCAATCCACATATCCATTGTGTTATACATAAAATATATTTGATTCACTAGCTCTATTATAGAAGATAGACTTGCCTCTGTATTCTGACAGAGTTCCTGTTACCAAATATCAGAGGAGCCAGGATCAGTTTCCTTTGAATTAACCAAAAGTGATTAAATTACCTGCGATTGTTTGCTTAATCCATCAATCTTAGCTAGTGATTGTTCTAACTGGTCTCTATAGGATATATTTTCAATAATGTGTATTTAGTTAATAATTGGGGCATCTTTGCAAGCACTTTGGATGGTTAATGATTATTTTTCTAATTTATTTTAACAAAAGTTAATATAATTCCAAACTGGAATGCATTGATCTGAATAGAGAAGTGAACAGATTTATTTGCAAAAATATATGTATGTTTGTGTACAAAAATATATGTATGTTTGCATGTGTGTGTAGCTATTATAAGTGATATCATTAAACCTCCAAATCCAAAATCATTTCAAAATACATAAATTTTTACTTTTTAAGGTTGTCCTGTATTTTTTAGGTTAATGAATTTTACATTAGCAATGAAGGTTAGAACGGATTACTTTAAAATAATTTAAGTTTAACCCATTTGCACAAAGGCATATCTGTCTTTTCCTACATTTGAGGGAACATTTTTACCACAATATGAAAGTGAGATAAAGATTTCATGACATAAGTATATATTTTATAGGGAGTTTTAAAAATTTTAACTATTGATCTATTTATTCAGATGAAACAATTCAAAGTCCTAACTTTATTTAGGTAAAACATGTTTACTAATCTCCAACATGATCTGCAAATATGCGTTCATTTATAAAAGTAACTTGTAGTGTAATAAAAAATACTGCATACAGACCTTAAAGGTTGGGTTTTCCCATGTCAGTATCTGTATCCTTTCACTGTTTAAGAAAACTCATTAATACAAAGAACAATTTCATATTATTTGTTTTGAACATAAGACTTGATGCTCATGGAATTCTGTTTTCAGACAAAAAGTTAGAAAGGCATCTATCTCAAACACCTTTTTTGATTAGAATCACTCTTGAAAAAAAATATTGGGATAAACTACAATTAACTCTAAATGCGTCCTATAGGAAGGTAATGTGTGGTAACATGTGGACTAAATTCCAAAGAATTTCAGAACATTGTCGAAAGAAAAGGGTTGGCGTTTCAAGTACTTATATATATGGAGATTTAATGTTGTAAATAAGAAAACGGGTGTGTGTAGGAGGGATAATAACATCTTATCCGCCCACAGACTTCCTTAAGCAACAAATACTGCAGTAAGAAAAAAGTATTAAAGAAACCTCCTCTTAAAATCCAGGGTTGTGTGGGTGGTTAAAGAATAATTTTTAACCCCTGCTTTTCTCTCAAAGTCTTTTAGTCATATTATAAAGACAAAGCCATGAATATTTTCCTTCATTCTCTTAAAAATATTTCTGGATTCATTGGATTTTTGATAGATTTCTAAAAATAAGAGATAAGTCTGGTGAAATGAAAGCTATATTTTAACTATTTAAATAATTGTTATAGGTCTGGAAAAATACACAAGTAAATTTTAATAACATCTTATGGGAAGTTATATGATAATATCTATAGAAATAAAATGTC